AAAATGTCTATCAATCGGTAGTTGACTTCTGACTTCAAACAATCATCATCCGACCGTATGCTATATACATCTACTTCCATAATACTCATCTCACCTTTTTTCTACCTTTGTGTCTATCTCTTTTACATCCTTCACCTTTTTTCTACCTTTGTGTCTGTCTCTTTTACATCTATGAAACACTCTTCTGTCCCCCCCCCCAATCTTAACCTTTTTCACTTTCTTCACCTTTTTTCTACCTTTGTGTTTGTCTCTTACATCTTTTAAACACTCTTTTGTCCCCCCCCCCATCTCGACTTTTTTCTCTTTGATATTCCTTATTTTTTCTACCTTTGTGTCTGTCTCTTTTACATCTTTGAACTCTTTGTTCTACCTTTGTGTTTGTCTCTTACATCTTTGAAACGCTTTCTTCTATTCCCACACCCTTCTCGACTTTTTTCACTTTGATGTTCATTCCCCTCTATGAAGCCTGAAGTCAACTAAAGGGTTAATGATAACTATCAAAACGCCTGCCATTTGATATAAATAAATATTTTCGATGTTTGGTCCCGCGCATCTGTGGCACATTTAAGATTTTTTAACCTAATAATATTTTTTAAATGATTAGAAATCTTGTTTCGCGTCGAGCAAGAGTATATCAGTATTTATGAAGAAAAAGTCATTTTCTTCCTTCAAAATTAATGTAGTTTCAAGGAAGTTGCTTCCAATTTGTGAATAGTTAATGGTTGATTATTTGCATAACTCAAAGTTACGACAATTTTTAATATAAACAAATTTTGACATTAAGATACGGGACCAAATAAGGTTAGCAGAACTCCAATAAAAAGGATTTCTTGGTACCTCTTTCAAAGGTGATTATATTCCAGTGGTCGGGGTAAGCGATAGACTTACCTCCACGTGGTACATACGAGAAAAAAGTCAATTAACCGGCAGTTGACTTCTCACTTCAAATTACTATCTCCCCACTGTATGTCATATTCGACTATTTTCACAGTACTCACCTCACACATTTTCTACCTTTGTGCAGACACTTTTATATCTTTGAAACACTCTTCTGTTCCCCCCCTCCGTCTCGACTTTTTTCACTTTGATGTTCCTTCCCCTCTGTGAAGCCTGAAGTCAACTAAAGGGCTAATTATAACCAACAAAACGTCTGCCATTTGATATAAATAAATATTCCAATAGTCTAAGAAGAAATGACAAACCTCCAAAATCTGAGAACGATGTATTGGTTAGGGTTGAATTTGTGCATTTAATGCAAGTGGAACGAAAATAAATGTAATGCAATAGAAGAAGCAACAAGATGGAGATAAACGAGCAGACTTTAGAGTAAGCGCGCCCTCTCTGTGTCTGATGAGTAGCCTTTAAAACTGAACGAGCTTTTGAGTCAATACCACAAGCTATCCAGAACCCCAGTTGTTCCAATCGTAATTGTTAAGGAGGTTTACCAGGAATTTCTGAGACATATATCACGGTTTTTAAGGCTTATAAACCCCGGCTGTGTTACACCGATGGAGAAATCAATCTGGGAGCTCAGTTTGGCTATTGGATAGATCAGGTCATGTATTCATCATCATGTCCTTCCCCTAGGGCGGCAGGTTTATGGTCACTGGCAAGTTGGTCAATGGTTGCATAGCTCATTTTTATTTTTCATATATAATGTACTTTATACCCTTTCATGTATACCATCCCTTCCTATTTAAAGTGCTCTTTATTTCAGAAGGGGACAACGACAGTATCCATGACACTGTGAACTTGTTGCAATTATTCCATCGACTTGACTTATTATACCGCCAAATTTCTCTTCAATCATGCTAAATGTGAGAAAATATTCGCCAAGTACAGTTATTTCACCTTTGCTAAAATTACAGACTTTCGTTTGTTGTATTGATGCCTAACACTGCCACTTTTCAAGTAGCGTCTATTGTGAGGTCTTAAAATGAATGCATTGCTTGAGAAAAGCGACATTCTGCCTCTATTTACCAAGCTTGAAAAAAATGGTAAAGTTTTGGTTTAAACATGACTTCATAATCGGAGTAGAAGTTCCGAGGTTAAGGTCACATGAGCCACTTAAGGTGAGAAGGGGTTGTTAAGTGACTCATCGTGCGTGCAAGCAAAACGTACCGTCTTTCGAGTGCTGTTTGTCCAAATTAACCTTGAGCAGACTGGCCTGGCGTCGGTTGCTGCCAAGAGAATCGGTCTGGTCTTCGGAGCGATTGGTCAGCTGAGGCAAGGAGACAGCATGGGAGGGCGTGAGATGAGGACTCGCGAAGCCAGGCATACTGTGCGTTCGGTGGGATTCGTTCAGCGCGCTAAATAAAAAAAAAATAATGCATCTCGTTTAATCTATTCCGCGTTTAAGTTAAGTAAATAATGAAATCATTAACTTTTAACTTTTCATTTATGGTGAATTCATGATAACTAGCCACTCATGAATCTCTTCAACATCCTGGCCTTCTGATTGGCTTCAGTTCTAAACAAGTATTGAAGTTTCTACATTCATGTATGGGTTTTCAACCATCGTATTTCCCCTATCCTTGCTTATCCAAATCCAATTTAGGAAAATTATTTTTCCTTGTCAACTACTTTTGATCATCATATGACTTAGCTTAGCCAGTCATGATGATTATGTGCATTGTATGATTTTAATATTAAAACTGGTTTATTTTTTGCACAGACATATTCCCACTAAGTTCCACATCTGCTACTACCAATCTGCACTATTCTGTAAACTGCAAAAATTGATTTCAAATACTTTGTTCAGAGAATGTGAAATGGTTCAAAAAGCATGCTATCAGCAGGGGGTGTGAGATAGACTTACCTCCACGCGGTACACCCCGGAAAACGTATTCTCATACGGCAAAAAAGTCCATAAACCGTCAGTCGACTTCTGTCTTCAAGTCACATGACCCCACTGTATGTCTTATTCGATCACTTTCACAATACTTGTCCTACCTTTTCTCTGCCTTTGTGTCTGTCTGTCTGTCTGTCTGTCTGTCACTTTTACATCTTTGAATCACTTTTTTATCCCTCCTCTCGAATTTTTCTCACTTTGATATTACTCCCCTTTGTGAAGACCCAAGTCAACTGAAGGGCTAATGATAAGTATCTTAAGGCCCGCCATTTGAAATATATACCTTCAAAGCAGAACTTCAACTCAATTTAAGACACAAATTTCATCAAGATCTGAGGCACAAATGGTACATATCCCATTTTCAGTTGCAAGGTAGTTCCTATTCCTCATGAGGAAGCGTTCGTTAAATCCTATCTCCTTCTTCCTTAGTATTTAACGATTAACATATTGGAAAGGTCAATGCGATATTTTAAAATTTGCCTCTAAGTAGTAAAATTTTGCAGCAGCAATATGAATTGTGAAAATTACTGTACAACCATCAAATTCTGGCATTGTATTGAGTGAAGTGTAAAATTTAACAATTGCTTTCATGAAAATAGGTTTTAAAGCATCAGATTACATATCGCGTCTATAAATTACATTTTCTTGCTTAAAAGGTGCGAACGAGAAGTTAAGCTTATTAGCCCATTTTAAATGCTGAGGCTTAGGCAGAACTAATGAAAAAAAAGACCAAGAATCCAAAGGACAAAGGTATGAGAGACGTGTAAGGAATCATAATGAAGGGTTGGTAGTGTGGTATTTATTTATTTATATCAAATGGCAGGCGTTTTGAT